GCTCACCAGCTCACGGCCGCTCCGCCCTGCCCGCAGCCTGCCGCTGAGGTTCTGGATCAACATCATCAAAAACCCGCAATTTGTGTTCGACGTGCAGACCTCAGACAACATGGACGCGGTGCTGCTGGTCATCGCCCAGACCTTCATGGACGCCTGCACCCTGGCGGACCACAAGCTGGGCCGGGTGAGCCGTCGGGGGACACGGAGGCCGTGGTGGGGCAGCACTGTGTGTGTCTGGGCATAGAACCCGCCAGGCCTCTGCGAGAGGGGCCTCTTCAGACCAGCTTAGCAGGACAGAAGCTTGAGGACGGCCTCAGAAGGCCCCCAGGCTTTGGATGGGGTCAGAGCGGACACAGCCAGGGTCTGGGGAGCAGCCAGCCCTGCCCGGGCCAGTCCCAGCCCTCGCTGAGCCGCGCCTGCGTGTTTGTCGGCCCTGGTCTCGTCGTCCTGTCAGGATGTGATGTGCCCGCCACCCTGGCTGACCTGCCTGCTACGTCCTCTGGGTTTGCTTTCCCTTCGGGACGCACCAGAGCCCATGCACACAGATCCCAGGCTGCCCACGCACACAGATCCCTGGCTCCCCATGCACACAGATCCCAGGCTTCCCATGCACACAGATCCCAGGCTGCCCACGCACACAGATCCCTGGCTCCCCATGCACACAGATCCCAGGCTTCCCATGCACACAGATCCCAGGCTGCCCACGCACACAGATCCCTGGCTCCCCATGCACACAGATCCCAGGCTTCCCATGCACACAGATCCCAGGCTGCCCACGCACACAGATCCCTGGCTCCCCATGCACACAGATCCCAGGCTTCCCATGCACACAGATCCCAGGCTGCCCACGCACACAGATCCCTGGCTCCCCATGCACACAGATCCCAGGCTTCCCATGCACACAGATCCCAGGCTGCCCACGCACACAGATCCCTGGCTCCCCATGCACACAGATCCCAGGCTTCCCATGCACACAGATCCCAGGCTGCCCACGCACACAGATCCCTGGCTCCCCATGCACACAGATCCCAGGCTTCCCATGCACACAGATCCCAGGCTGCCCACGCACACAGATCCCTGGCTCCCCATGCACACAGATCCCAGGCTTCCCATGCACACAGATCCCAGGCTGCCCACGCACACAGATCCCTGGCTCCCCATGCACACAGATCCCAGGCTTCCCATGCACACAGATCCCAGGCTGCCCACGCACACAGATCCCTGGCTCCCCATGCACACAGATCCCAGGCTTCCCATGCACACAGATCCCAGGCTGCCCACGCACACAGATCCCTGGCTCCCCATGCACACAGATCCCAGGCTTCCCATGCACACAGATCCCAGGCTGCCCACGCACACAGATCCCTGGCTCCCCATGCACACAGATCCCAGGCTTCCCATGCACACAGATCCCAGGCTGCCCACGCACACAGATCCCTGGCTCCCCATGCACACAGATCCCAGGCTTCCCATGCACACAGATCCCAGGCTGCCCACGCACACAGATCCCTGGCTCCCCATGCACACAGATCCCAGGCTTCCCATGCACACAGATCCCAGGCTGCCCACGCACACAGATCCCTGGCTCCCCATGCACACAGATCCCAGGCTTCCCATGCACACAGATCCCAGGCTGCCCACGCACACAGATCCCTGGCTCCCCATGCACACAGATCCCAGGCTTCCCATGCACACAGATCCCAGGCTGCCCACGCACACAGATCCCTGGCTCCCCATGCACACAGATCCCAGGCTTCCCATGCACACAGATCCCAGGCTGCCCACGCACACAGATCCCTGGCTCCCCATGCACACAGATCCCAGGCTTCCCATGCACACAGATCCCAGGCTGCCCACGCACACAGATCCCTGGCTCCCCATGCACACAGATCCCAGGCTTCCCATGCACACAGATCCCAGGCTGCCCACGCACACAGATCCCTGGCTCCCCATGCACACAGATCCCAGGCTTCCCATGCACACAGATCCCAGGCTGCCCACGCACACAGATCCCTGGCTCCCCATGCACACAGATCCCAGGCTTCCCATGCACACAGATCCCAGGCTGCCCACGCACACAGATCCCTGGCTCCCCATGCACACAGATCCCAGGCTTCCCATGCACACAGATCCCAGGCTGCCCACGCACACAGATCCCTGGCTCCCCATGCACACAGATCCCAGGCTTCCCATGCACACAGATCCCAGGCTGCCCACGCACACAGATCCCTGGCTCCCCATGCACACAGATCCCAGGCTTCCCATGCACACAGATCCCAGGCTGCCCACGCACACAGATCCCTGGCTCCCCATGCACACAGATCCCAGGCTTCCCATGCACACAGATCCCTGGCTCCCCATGCACACAGATCCCAGGCTGCCCATGCACACAGATCCCAGGCTGCCCATGCACACAGATCGATCCCAGGCTCCCCACACACACAGATCCCAGGCTTCCCATGCACACAGATCCCTGGCTCCCCATGCACACAGATCCC